CCTGGCGCGGGGGCCGCCTTCCCCCGACACCGTTCCCTCCCGCTGCAGGCAAGCTGTCCCTGGAGGAGTTCATCCGCGGGGCCAAGAGCGACCCGTCCATCGTGCGCCTGCTGCAGTGCGACCCCAGCAGCGCCTCCCAGTTCTGAGCGAGGAGCCAGCTCCCCTCCTCCCCGCCTCCACCGGCCGCTCCCGGCTCTCGCTTCCCCTCCCTTGTGTCTCTCCAGGCTGGGGGTCAGACTGGGCCTTCCCCCCCCAGGGTCCGCACTCTGGGGGGAGCCTATGGAAAAGGGAACCCTGCCGTCCTCCCAAGGCCCAAGCAAGCGGTTAGCACCCCCAATCCAAGGCCATATCTCCCTTCGGCAAAGATAGGGAGACAGGCTCTGGCGTGGTCCTCCCCTCCGAGTCAGCCTTCCCCTACCTCGATCTCAGAATTTCAACCAGCCCCCCTCCCAACCCAAATGCACAGCCCCGAGGCCAGACGTCCCTCCCCCAATCACCGGGCAGTTCCCCCTCCCCCACCCCACCCTGGTAGGTCTCAGCCTGGGTGGGGAGCGTGGAAACCGAGCCCAGGTGAGGAGCCAGTCTTTTTATTTGGAGGGAAGAGAAGGATTGGGGGGGGGGGGGCGTGGAGGGATAAGGATAAAGCTTCCTTGAGCCATCCTTCCCTTCCTGCTGCAGCTTTTGTTGGCTGGAGGCCATGCTGCAAAAGGAAAACCTCCCGATTGCAGTGTGAGCCCCATGAACCCCCGCCCGCCTTTCAGCACGTGGATGAACACAGGCCCACAGACACACCTAACCGCCCCGCCCCCTGCATCCTGCGTGGGAAAGCACAGGCCCTGGCCGAGCCCTCCCCTGCTGCATGCCTCCCGGCCGAGCGTCTCTGTTCTTTTTAATAACTTCAGAATAAAGTCTCACTTCAGCGCAGAGCGTGGGTGGCCGGGGGAGGGGTTTAAAATCCCCACCCAGGTCCGGGAATGGCCACTGAGCCCTCACAGGCCAGCTCCAGGGATCCTGGCCTGGTCACAGTGCAGACTTGGTTGCAGGTCCCCATGCTCATGGGGTGTGGGTGAGGCAGCAGCTGTCAGAGGGTCAGCGGGCCAGAGCTGGGGCAGCTCATCAGGTCGTGGCCTTCCGCAGGCTCCGGGCTCTCCTGCATCTGCGGAGACAGGAGAGGCTGCCGGGCTGTGGACCTGGGTCTGGGAATCCTCCAGGCCCCCCGGGGAGACGAGGCTCCCTGAAGCAGAGGGCATCACTGCATCCCAGGCCACACCCTTGGAGTGCCCCCAGTTCCAGCCCAGATGACCCCCCCCACCCCCTCAAGTCCTGGGCCCTGGGTGAACCAGGAGCCAGCTGTGTGTCTCAGCTGGGAGATCTGACCCCTCTGAGCCTCCAGGCCTCTCTCTTTGGTCCTGGGGAGAACACTGTCGCCCCAGTTCTCAAGTGGGAGCCCCATGCAGAGGGATGGGGGCTGCCCAGCAGGGGCTCCCAGAAAATGAGGGGAGTCAAGGCTGTGGAGGGGATGGCAGGCCTTACCATGTGGTGGCTGCTTTTCCCCCACCAGGGCCTCAGTTCCAGCAGCTGGTGGGCGAGCTGGGCGCATCGCACCGCGAACACACTCTCTGCCACGCAGAACACAAGGGAGATACCCCAGAGGCACAGGCTGGAGCTCTGCAGGGACACGGGGCAGGGATGGCACAGGGGTTGGGGGTGGGTGGGCAAGGCTCCCAGAACCCTTCCCACCTCTGATGAGCACTTGATTGACCCCCCCCCCTCCCCACCCCATCCCAGGCCTAAGCACTCACATAAATGCGTGTGGGGTCGAAGGGACAGTCGGGTGCCAGGGCCAGTAGTTCGGGGCTCTCAAAAGTGCAGGCGGCCAGCAGTGCCCGGCCCTGGGTGGCAAAGGTCACAGCGATCGAGGCCAAGAGTCCGAAAGCACAGGTCAGAGAGAGAAGGGCACAGGCCACACTTGAACTAAATACTGCCCAGCGCTGGAGAGGAGAGACCACTGGTCAATGGCTATCAGGCTCCACCCCACATGGGCAGTTCTGGCCCCCCATGGGGTCAGCTCACCCCCTCCCAGCAGGCCAGGCCCTTCTTTCCCCAAAACCCCATTCCAGGAGGTGCCACATACCAGAGGGATGCTGGGGAGGTAGCGTGACAACACAATGGCTGCGATGCCCGAGGTGATGACCTGTGGGGAGACTCAAGTCAGCCCTGACCCTCCTGCTGGAGGAGAGCGGGCAGTGAGGTCAGGGCCCCTCTCAGATAAGGATTCCGCCAATGCCAACTGGAGCCCCCAAGCCGCCTCCTCCCCCGCTGCTTAGCCTTAGCCTCATTACTTTGATCTGCATGGAGGCACTGCCCCCTCATGGTCCAGCCCCCAAGTGATGTTTCTAAAGCACAGTCACTTCCTGCCTACAACCTTCCATGGCTCCCCACTGCCCATAGCTGTGTAGCTCCAACAGGGACCTGTGTATCCCAGGGCCGCAGCGGCATGTACCAGGATATGTATGACTTGCCTCCCTGGAGTGGAAGAGATTTGGGAAGAAACTAAGTAACTCGCTGTCAAGGAACTAAACACAAAATAAACAAATCAGGACACTTTATGGAGAATTCAAAATCTTAGGAGTACATTTCCTCAAGCTCTCAGCGACCTGGCCTCAGTCCCAGCAGCATCTCAGCCCCACCCTGCCAAGCCTCTTCCTCATTGCCCTGGATGTGGACACCCACACACAGCCTGCTCATGATGCTGTCCACACAGCGCCCTCTCAGCCCCAAGAGTTGGCTGCTTAACCCACCAGCTGCCCCCTGGCTCTTCGGGGCTCCATTCAGCCAGGCTTCCTTCCTGAGCTCCCTCACTGTGTCAGGCATGGGCTGCACCCATGGGAGGCAGGTGGTGTAACAGGAGTCCAGCAATGTCTGTAATTCACTGTGCAGCCATGAGTAGGTGCCTCAACCTCTCTGGGCTAAGTCCTGCTCTGCAGGATGAGCTTATGGAAAAGACACTGGCTTTGGTGTCAGACACATCGTGTCAAATCCAGCTTGGCCTCTTTGCTTCAGCAGGAGGCTGGGTGAGTCCCTGAGAGGTTTCCCCCTGTCGGGGTAATAATGGCCCCATGTTGCTGAGAACAGTGAGAATTAAATGAGGAAATGAGGGTAAAGCGGAAGTGGTCCATCCTGGAGCCCACAACCCTGAGCTCACGGCCTTCCTTGCCTTCTATCCAGGCCGGTGAGAGGAAAACACAACAGTAATAATAACGCCAAAGGACCGCACACATCGCCATGGCTCAGCCTGTCCCGCTGACGGAGGCGCTCCTTGCTGGGCTGGTCGAGCTTCGTTATGCAGGGGAGGGAACAGGCTGACAGGGAAAAATAAGTCCCTTAGCCAGGAGGTGGCAGGGAAGGACCTGGCGCTGACATATGGACGTTGCCCAAAGGGCTGTGGCCACCTCTGTGGCTAGGTGGGAAAGAACTTTATGCACTTGGGAATACCGGGCTCCTTCACTCATGTATTCATCAAGCCGGTCTCGACATCCAGGCATAACGGTGGCGACCATTTATTCAGCACTTATGTAGACCAGGCCTCATGCTAAGCTTCTGAAACATTGTTTTTTCAGTGTCTCCAGAACAGACCTGAGCTATTCCCACTTCCATACCTTTGCATCTGCCATTCTCTGTGCTTGGGATGCGATCCCAGCTTCCTCTGCCACCTGTTGGCCACACACCCGGGCTATGGTAATTGCACCCCATCCTGGAATTCCTACTCAGCCATCAGTGCCCAGCCCAGGGGCGTCTACCTCGGTGAACCCTCCTGAACCCTCTCAAGCTGAGCGGCTGCTCCTTCCTTCTGTCCGGTGGCGTCTTGCCTATTGCCCACTATACTCATCATCCCAGCTCACAGCAGTGAGGCTGAGCATGTGGCAGACACTGTGCCAAGCACTTTAGTGGATGGTCCCGTCCATTGCTCACCAGGACCCTCTGTGGTGGACACTGTTACGATCCCCGCTTTATAGATGAGGAAGCTGAGGTAAAGGGAGCTTGGGTGGCTCATGTCGTTGGTAAGTGGAGCAGGGGTTAGGCGTGGGCTCTCTACTGGCCCATCCCAGGCTCTGCGCGGAGACTCATCAAGAACCTTTCAGGCCCCCTCCAGCCCCGCCAGCCCCTCCCGGCCTGGGCCTACCAGGATGGCAGACGTGACCGAGAGGATGTTGACCACGCAGTACTGCAGAGCCGCGGCATCGTGGGGGGCAGCCACGTAGCGCAGCACGGTGCCGTGGAGCAAGGCTGCCTCGATGAAGCTCATGTGGCCCAGCACCACCAGCACCAGCCCCGTCTTCATCAGCACCTTCCGGAAGTCATCCACACTCAGGCCACCTGTGGGGGACAGCTGTGTCAGGGCCATGGGTGGGGCTCATCCTGCCATGTTCTTGGGGACCCTGTGCCAGGAGGTAGTCCCCAGGAATCAGGGAGGGATGGGGCCATCCAGTCACAGACACTCCGTGTGACCCTGTGCCAGCCCCTCTCTGAGGCCCAGATGACTCCTGTGTCAAAAGGGGAAGGCTTGGTCTGGCTGATCTGAGAACCCAGAGCCTGCAGGACCCTCTGCAGCTGTAGATGGAGGAGAGTCAGAGGGCAGGTGACAGGCTGGACAGGCATGTGGAACCGGAATGGCATCGTGTAGATTAACTGCTGGCCAAACAGGAAGGGGCACAGCAGCTTTGTCCCAGGGCCCTGACCCACCTCGCCCCATCCACCCACCCACCTGGCAACCCAGATACCACCCGGCCCGGAGCCTGGCGGGCTCATAAACAACAGCAGCATCCCAGGCCCGAGACTTTGTTCCCACTGTAGGCACCGTGCCACCGCCGCGGGCTATGCCTGGAGCGCTGGGCAGAGTCTGAGGGGAGGCCCTGGCTTGTTTCTAAGTCACCATTCTTGGAGCACTTAGCCGTGTGGCTGCATCCTGGTAAGCACTCCACTCTTAGAGATCCTTTATCCTCAGGGTAATCCTAAGGAGGAGGGGCTACCACCCCATTTTACAGCAGAGGAAAGCGAGGCTCACAAGGTCTCTTGGACTCCCCAGGTGTGTCTGATGCCAAGAGCAGCACCGCCGAGCCCAGGGAGTGAGGGAGGGGACATCCACCCCACTCCCCTCCGGATCCTGTTCGCCAACGGTCCCTCCCTCCCAGCGGGGTGCGGAGCCCAGGGAATGGCAGTGGGAACCCTGGGCAAGGCGAGGAAGCGGAAGGCAGGCCGCCTCTGGCTCAGAGCTCCCTGGGCCGGACTTCCTCCTGCGTCTTCCTTCTGGGCGAGGTGGGGGCTGCTCTCTCCAGCGTTTCTTCCCCGGCCTGGGGGGTGGGGGTGTGGGGGGGTCCCGCCTCCGCAAGAGAGGAAAGTGGGGAAGAGGCCGGAGGGCACCGCATCCCTCCACATCACCGCGGGCACAACTCCGGCCAGAGCCCAGTGCCCTGCAGAGAAGGCGGCCTGGACTCCGGCCC